GCCTTAAATCAGTACTAAGCAAAGGAAAGAGTACCTTGTGCTCACTTGTGGACCACCATCACTAAGTAGTGCTGCCCCCAAAGGAAAAGGTGAAGAAGATGGGGAAAGTTGTTCAGATGATGACATCAGCAGTGGAGATGAAGAGAATGAGTCTGTGAGTAACCAATTAGTTCTCATCTTTGATTGCTTAGTGCGTGTTTGGATACAAATATATTAGTCTTTTACTGGTTTTTTTGTTAACAGTGTTTAACGTTGAAAATATTGGTTTGGTTAGTTTTTATTGGGATATTAGAGTAATATTAAAAATAAGGCATAATTGCACCTCACATCACGACTTCATCGACTTTTGCAATTCTGTCACGACTTTGGGACTTTGGCAATTCGGTACCCAACCTTGGTTTTTTTGCAAGACCAAGCATTAACCACCTCGCCGGCTGACAAATGCCAGCTTGTCCGGCAACTTAATCCAACATTGCACTGACGTGGGGGACGTGTCACAGGCCAAAATATACACTTCATCATTGCGACGTCGTTTCATCTTTAAAAACATCTTATAAGTACCAAAAAATCCCCCAAATTCATGAAATTCCTAATTTTTCTTGCGACCCTGTGACCCTCCCTCCACCCTGCGACAAGAAATTTTTCCTCCAGCTCCAAAAGATCACTGCAATCTCTATCTGCGGCCCTCCTTCCACACATGGCAAGTAGCTCGACCAGCAGTGGAGCTTCAAAAGGAAGTGCAACCAACACACAAGTCCATAGTTTCGATGGCTTTCTGTACAAATTTTCAGGTTTCTTTAGAAATTGCGAATTTGTCGAGAATTTGTAGGGTTCTTCGATGGCTTTTGGATTTGTCGACACAAATTTTGGGCTGTCCAAGCCTTCGAAAGATTGTTTGGTCGAGGAAAGAGTGAACGGGATTTAGGGGTTTTTTGATTGCGATTTCGATTTAGGAAGTTAGGGCATCTGTTGGTCGAGGAGAGAATGAATGGGATTTAGGGATTTTTCGATTTAATGTAACAAATGAATTTTATTTTTGGTATTTTTGCATGATAAAACGACGTCGTGGGATCGGCGTGTCATTTTGGCCTTAGACAAATCCTCCACGTCAGTGTCATGTTGGATTAAGTTGCTGGACAAGATGACATCTGTCGGCTGGCGAGGTGAGGTGGTCAATGCTTGGTCTTACAAAAACACCAAAGGTTGGGTATCAAATTGCCAAGGTGCCAAAGTCGTGACAGAAGTGCAAAAGTCGATAAAGTTGTGATATGAGGTGCAATTTTGCCTAAAGATAAATATAGTAAAGTTAATGTGAAATAAAAATAGAAGAAAGGTGATAAGAAGTGATAGGTAGTTAAAATTATGTGCTATGAATAGTGAATTAAAGTTGACGTGACGTGTATGGATAATTGAAGATAGTGAGGTTGAGTTAGATTTTGAGTATGAATTGGTTATGAGTATGAGTTTATTTGTATCCAAACACCCCCTTACTGAATCCAAGGATGGGAATATTATAACATCCAACATTTTCGTCTCGTTGAACTCATTATCCTTAACGCTGCAGGTTCTCGTTTCGGATCGGAACAGACCAAGGAAAAAGCAAAAATTGAACAAGAAGGTAAAGGGAGGGAATGGGTTTTGAGAAAGAAAGAACAAATGCGCCGGAAGGGAAATTCAGTTCCTGTGGACACAAAGTACACTGCCCGTAAAAGAAAAGCCCGATTTTGACGACATTTTTTCCTTTAGTTGGGTTGTGAAAAGTTCAGAAACGCAAAAACTTATATAGGCGCAGCAGTTGTTATATCAGAATGGAATATTAAGTAAGTCTATTTTTTTTTTTTTTTTTAGTTTGACATTAAAATACATGAGATTTTCAATTTTTACAATTTGATATATCATGCCTAAATTAATGAAAAACGGAAAGAACAAAACTTACTTGAAATGTTACAGTATAATTCGAATAATCTTGTTAATAATCTTATTGTTTTAAGTTATATTCTTTGTAAGTCATTTAGAAAGAGAGCACGACAAAATAAGTGAGAAATTCACTATTTATTAAGTTGCTTATGCATTTATTTATATATTATTAAGTTGGTTAGAATTGTTTCCTTATTTGTTGTAGGAACACATGTAGTAGAGTTTAGGACGAGGGATTGGAGATTGGGACGCGGTATGCACAGATAAAGAAATAGGATAATACTGATTCAGACCAGTTGGGTATTTCTACATGATTTCGGACCTTCCAAGTTAAAGGCGTTCCAAGTTAAAGGCAATTAGGAGATCTTGAAGACGTGGCAATGGATGAAACTTACTACCATTGAAGATTCTGAAGTCCAATTACCAAAAGAAGACTTGCATTAATTTAGAATCTTCAGCATTGTATTGTATGCGTTACGCGAGAGAGCTTGAGACTATTAGAGTTTTGCTGAGAGTTTTCGAGAGCTGAGCTTGATCTTATTTCATAGTTTTAGTCAAACTTTTAGTTCTTGTTCTTGCGGATTGAAAGATTGACATTTTTTATTCATATTCATGTCACTTGAAATAAGTGTTCGTGTACCTGTGGAGGTATCCACGAGAGGTTTTGAAGTCCATGAGTTGGGCATAAAAGTCACTTGGAAAGTGAAGTATAAGAACAAATAGATTAGAAGGAAGTTCTAGTCGAATAAATCTGTACTACACTACTACGTGTGCATAACCATTTTTTAGCGAAATACTTACGAAGAAAGGGGAAAATAAGCTCTTTGAAGACAAATTTGAGTTGATCGCTATTTTATGTTGCTATCAAAATATTGCACTCGTACGCTCCTCATACACTTGAAGAACTTTTTAAAATTCGAATCAAAACCCATTTCACGTCAAGGATGCATCAAATTCATCCTCCAAACAAAACTACTTTCTTCATAAAAATAAAATAAAATTATTGAGAAATATAGGATTCGTATTCACCATTCAAAGATGTCGAAACAGTGGGCCCACTCTCGGCCCCGAACGTTTTGCCGATCCTCTCAATGGGTACCAACGGCAGGTAACACGACACGGCATAGCCTCTCTCGGCAGAAAAGGCCACGGCTTGGTTATACTTCTCGGACCAATAGGCAGCCGTTGGGACCATAATATGGGCGAGTTGGGCGAACAAAGGGAGCCCATTAAGGACCCGCCAAGCCGCGACTGCATACTGCTCGGCTACTGGCTCGTACTTGGCGTACAACTCGTTGGCTGCCGGCTCGTATTTGATGTAAGCGGCTCTGCCGATTTTAGAAGCCGTGTCCACAAGGCCAGCTTCATGCACCTCCGATGCCAGCTCTTTAGCCAGTTTTGAAGCTGAATGAGCCGCCGTCAAGGCTTGGCTTGTGGCTAGCTTAAGAATAGCTGGCACGTGATGGTTCAACTCGATTAAGGACTGGCCCACCTGCATATAATTCAATAATTATCTTATAAATCATATTTAACTTATCGTGCATATCGTTTTTAACTGTTACGTAATGATCTAACGGTTACAAATCCTGACAGAATAGTTCTGTAACAAGAATAAATTTCAGTAGATTATTAGGCAAACCTTGCGATCTACGAATGTGAGAAGGTGAACGGGGACATGGCGGAATTTCTCGAAAACCGGCCCCACAACTGTTTTTACGGTCCCTTCAACGGTTTGGACGCCCGGTCTAAGCGGACCGGCGTTCTCCTTGGCGTATTCGTAGATTGTGGAGCAACATACGACGACGTATATTGCGACAACTCGAACGAAATCGAGATACTCGAGCCGCTGCTTCTTCGTCTCCTTGTCCTCAATTTCCCCGACCTTCAGAGGGAATAATCGAACCAGGTAAGAATCTTACATGGATTTTGTCCAATTCGATTTACGTGGTTTTTTCATCGTTTAATCACATGAAAATTGATGAAAAATTAGTAAATATTTCTGTTAATTGAATTAAAAATAATAATAATAATAATAATAATAATAATAATAATAATAATAATAAAGAGGAAAAAGGGAAATGCATATGTACCGTTAGATCCGATGGTGTTATGATTTCTGGTTCAGACATTTTTGTTTGAAGAGAGAGAGAGAGAG